TCGCACTGCACTTTATGAATTACCTTTTAAATGTCACATCACACTTTAAATTGCACTGTACACATATTGTCACATGCTAATTTGCACATATAATAAATTGCACACAACTGTTGGGTAGAAAGACATTTATTGAGGGCTTGGGTTGTCCAGAGTCCGGTCTGCGGAGACAAACAAAACAGTTTGAGTGGGGCTTTGTGCAATATATGTGGTGTTTGAGTTAGTTGTGTTTGGTATGGGTTCGGGTGTGTGTGATGTGTGGTTTTAGTGGGTGAATGATATAAGTGTGGCTGTGATATGTATTTTAAAAATGTGTTTACTCACCACTGTCTTGTGTCCAGGTGCGTGGGCCAAAAGGGTCCCCGGGCCACAAACACCGGCATTTATGGTTCCGGCTGGACCAAGTCAATGAATTGGTGGAGGGGGGATCTAGCACTGTTTTTAGTCATAGTTGGTATAGATATTTTTGTAGGAGGGTGTTTTAGGAGTATATTTTTGTAGGGGGGTGTTTTATTATTGTAACTGGTTATTGGTATTTTAATGGAGGGTTTTAACATAGTTTTTAGAAGCTAATGTTAATGCTATACCCCTGGAGTTTTAATTGGTTTTACCCAGTAGTATATAAGGCGCCCATTTTTACCATTCCATTGTCCTGCTGCTGGGGAACACATGCTCCTGTCCTTCATCCACTGTGTTGGTTTGTTTTGCATTTTTGCACCCTTTTCTTTGTCTGCACTGGTCACTTTAAAAAAAAGGAAAAAAACAGAAAATAAAAATAAGTGGACCAAGCTGAAGCCTGCCTCCGTCAACTTTGTTTGGGTTTATATCTCACTGCCATCCAGCCGCTCAAAGCCAGGCCTGCTAACAATTGGTGTCAGAAGTGCTGCCCTGCCACAGTGAGTAGATCAAGACAATGATGACTAGAGGAGGAAAAAGGGATGAGGAACCAGATCAAGGAAATGTTGACACGTCTGATCCTCAAGGGGCCACCGGTGGGCACAGTGATAAAGTGGAGGAGCTGACTGCTCTCGTGAAAGCATTGATCGAGAAGCAGGATGCAAGAGACAGAAAGCATGATAAAGATCAGCTGCAACAGGAGCAACGCTGGAAGACCATGCAACGGCAGGTCCAACGGGTCCAGCAGCAGCAATATGGAAGGTCCGAGCACTCTGGGTTGGATGTGCGAGGACATATGGAGACACCTTGTGACAACGACACAGGTGATTGTGATGATGAGGCAGACCCAGGCGGCTATAGCTACAGACCGCAGAGGGAGGCCGCACTGCCATGTTTCAAACCAGGAGATGACATTGAACATTTTTTGATTACTTTTGAGCGGATGGCCAGAGTCTATCAGTGGCCAAAAGAAGAGTGGGCGGTTCGTTTAGTCCCATTATTGACCGGGAAGGCACGCAGCGCTTTTGTGCAAATGGACATTCGGCACTCAAACATGTATGGAAGAGTAAAGGACGCTATATTAGCAAAATATGAGATCACAGAGGAGACGTACCGGCGACGCTTCAGGTCCCTTCAACTTGAGCCAGAAGAGACGCCACGGGAGCTGTACGTCCGCCTCAGGGACTTGTTGAACCGTTGGCTCCAACCTGAGAAGGCATCTGAAGAGGAGATCTGGGAGAAGCTCATCCTGGAGCAGTTTCTCCGAATGGTTAACCCCGAGCTTGAAGTCTGGATCCGGGAGAGAGACCCCGAGAGTGCAGAAGAAGCAGCTCGTCTCGCAGAGTCCTTCATGGCTGCACGCAAAGGACCCAGAGCTGGCTACTTCGGAAGGGAGCCCCGCTTCGCCCAGCCAAGTAAGTCCTTTGGGGGTGATCAGGGTCGTGGTCCTGATTCTGGGGGGTTTAAGAGTAGGCCTCCATTTTTTCAGTCACGCTCAGACAGACGACCAAAAACATCTCAGACACAGGAAGTAAGATGCTACAATTGCAACAAACTAGGTCATACTCAGCATTTTTGCCCGACATTAAAGTCTAAACCTTCGCTTTTGTGTTCAGTACCTAGGCCGGCTACGGTACCCACTTTAGAGAAGAGGGGGCGCACGACACCTGTGCTAGTTAACGGCCACAAAGTTAGTGCATTGTTAGACTCTGGTTGTTTTCAGTCTATAATCCTGTCGCGTTTGGTCCCAGAGGAAAGGCGCTCTAGGGAGACCATACCACTTACTTGTATACATGGAGATGAGCATACTTACCCAACAGCTGAGGTCTATGCAACAGTAGGAGGTCAAACTTACCTGTTAAAGGTTGCCTTAGCAGAAAACTTACCATATGAGGTCATCCTAGGAAATGACATTCCAACTTTACTTGATCTCATGTCACAGGTAACTGAGGAACTCTCTGAGTCAGTTAACTCGGTTAATGTCCTTACAAGAGCACAGAAAGCAAAAGCTATTCTGGAGGAGCTTCCTTTTTGGGAGGAAGAACTTGAAGCTTTGCCAGGAAAGAGTAGGAAACCCAAAGCGCAGAAAAGGCAAGAAAAGTTTGCAGGCTCTCCCAGGGAGGACACACAGTTGCCAAAACCACTTAGCCCAGTTGAATTTGGGATACCCGCAGACATAGGGACACTCCAGAAACGGGACATATCCCTAAAACCCTGGTTTGAAAATGTGTCTAATCAGCAGAGGGGGATAAAAAGGTTGGATGAGACAGAGTACAGGATTAAAAATGGTATCTTGTATCAAGTTAATGGGAAAAGTGAAGCTATTGCCTTGCCTCATCAGTTTAGACAGCAGGTAATGGAACTGGGCCACTCCATTCCCTGGGCCGGTCATATGGCTTTTCAGAGAACTTTGCGCAGAATCGGCAGTCGTTTTGCCTGGCCTGGCATGTATACCCAGATATCAAATTTCTGCAAAACCTGTGAGAAATGTCAATTGACGGCAGGAAAAGGGGTTGGTCACGCCCACTTGCAGCCGCTGCCCATTATTGGTACCCCATTTGAACGAATTGGAATGGACATTGTTGGTCCTTTGGAGAAAAGTTCCTCAGGTAACCGTTTCATTTTGGTCCTGTGTGACTATGCCACAAGATACCCAGAAGCGTTTCCATTGCGCTCGATC